ATCTGCAGAAAGAACCACTGGAGAAGCTCAATATCAGCTGTGAAAACTAGGCCAGGAGCTGATTGTGGAATAGACCACCAGCTACTCATATGCAAGTTCAAGCTGAAGCTGAGAAAAATTAAACCAAATACACAGGAACCAAAATATGACTTTGAGTCTATCCCACCTGAATTTCAGAACCAGCTCAGGAACAGGTTTGAGACCTTGAACACTAATGAACACTCCTATTAGTAGTTCTTTGAAAATGAAGTTGTTTAGAACATCATAATTCTTTAGAGACTTAAAAAAGAACCATTTAATTTTGATTCCTTTTTCCGTTTAGAGATTTTTTTCTGAGACATTCAAAACCTGTTAAGGGTATCAATTAATTAATTCACTTGTTTCCACCTTTTCTCTGATATGCGGTGAGAACTGGCCTTCCCACCCCCTCACCCCCAACAGAAGCAGAGGCACATTGTCGTTAAAGTCGATGTTTTATCATAGAACTTACCTTTTGGTTGAGCTTTATGTTCCCAGGAACTAAATGTGTGGGTGTGTCCCATTCCCTTGAACTAAATTAATCCATTAAAAAAAAAAAAAAAGAGACATAATCCAAAAGTCATTTCCAGAGTCCACGCCTTTGGGTTAGTGTTCACAGAGGAGAAAATTGAAGCCCACGGGAAAATGTGAGAGAGGGAGATGCGTCTACGAAAATAGTTTTGCATTAAATTGACTTTCTAAAAGTTTATTGATGGAGTTGGAGGGCCCTTCTGGCTCTGATAATAAAGCTGGCAGGTTATGTTTTTAAAAGTTGGAATGGCAAGCGATTTATCACCCCATATTTAACGGAAACATATTTTTAGGTTGAAACTGAGAAAATAATTGCAGGTTTTAACCTAAAGGGAATCCTGAGCACATCTGTGTTTATAGAAATCTATATTATTTTAAAGGCACAGATCCACATTTTGATGTGCATTCACGAATACTAACGGGGCTGCTTCGTTTATGGTTTGACAGGCAGTAGTAGTCTCACTGCATTCATGAATTCTCTTGTTCGTCAAGACTTTGAAAATGCTCCCACTTCATTATTCTTGTTGTTGTTATGTGCCATTAAGTCACCTGTGACTTCTAGTGGCGCTGTGTACGGCAGCTCTGAAGCCTGCCCTAAGCAAGTCTCACTGATTCCAAACACCTTTGCCATCGCCCCAGCTTCTGCATCGATCCATCTCATTAAGGAAATGATTGTAAAATGATTTCAGTGTTTTTTGTAATTTAAATGTAAAGCTGGTTTGTGGTTGGGTTTTTTTTTTCCTTATTTGGTCAGTAAATAAATAAACAAACAACTGGCCAAATCATGGCCGCTGAGGCAATTGTGACTCAGGATTCTAACACATGGTCTCTTGTGTCCTGTCATGACCGTGGTCTTTACAGAAGCACATCTCCAGGGCTTGCTTCTGAAACGCAGGTCCTGCATCTGTGACTAAAAGGAAGGTCAAAGTAGAAGAGGCAGGAGACAGGAAAAGGCAAGAAGACAGAGCTGTTGGAATGTGATGGAGGAAAGGATGAGAAACCCAGGAGTTAACTGACCCTAGAGAGGCCGACCATCATGACGGATGATTGGAATTAAAGGTTCAGCATTGTGGCTACATTCCTTTGGAAGTAACCAAACTTGATAGGAGGGTGATCTTTTCTCTTTTACAGAATGCTTATGTCGGATTCTATTTAGATTTCATAGACAGAGGAAGAACCTGCAACTCTACAGATAGCAAAAGAACTATCATAACTAACTCTCCACCTCAAAGCTTGGTCACTGCTGTTTCTGTTACTTTTGTTGAACCCTGGTGGCGTAGCTTTTTAAGCACTTGGGTGGCAATTTGAACTCAGTAGCTGCTCTTGGGAGAAAATGTGGCCATCAGCTTCTGTAAAGATCTCAAGCTTAGGAAAGCTCTGTCGTGGCTCTGCCGTCTTACGGGATCAGAATGACTTGGCATCAGCTTGGCAGTAACGGGCTTGTTTCTCGTTGTGCTTCCTTTGTGGCTTGTATTTACCATCTCACATTGATCTGAAATAATTGTGACAATCAGAAGTGTGCCGAGCCTGGTTTAGCCTGCACATCAGTCATGTTTCCCTAGCACTGAGCTCAGTGCCAAGCAGAACAGGTGGCAGGAGCTGGTTGGTAATGGATCCCCCAGCCCTGTAATGCGTGAGCCACACACAGCTACCCCGCTTCCGCAGTTGATTCCAACTCGCCGTCGGGTTTCCGAGGCTGTGAGTGTTTAGGAGATTGCCCGTCTTTCTCCCTCCCCTGGAGTGCCTGGTGGATTCGAACCACTGATCTTTTCGTTCTCGCAGTCCAACAGTAGCACACAGTGCCACTGGGACTCCTTCATACAAGTGGAGGAATGCATTGATGGTTGTTACCGTTTTCCTCAAGTTCTAGGACCATTGCCTCTGTAAACATAATGCCTAAGTGACAACTTGGTCATTTTCTGGAAAGTTTATTTTCCCAAAATTTTCTTAAAGAACTTGCTTGTTCTTTATTTCTTAGACACACATACATACACCCCCACACCCCCTACACCTACACCTCTACTCCCCCCTTAACACTGTGTTTCTGTAGGCATGTGGGAAGGAGAGATGTGCCTGTTAGCACAACTTTGTGGAGTTGGTTGTTTTTCCCAGTTGCACACACCTTTTTCACTTGTTTTAATAAAGCTTTCTTAGGGTGCAGTCTCTTCCAGCTTCTGCTTGGCCCTCCCCCTCTTTGGAGCCACTCGCCTTGCGGCATGGTTGTGGTGGTCAGGCACCATGGCGTCAGCTTTCGCCCACAGTGCGTCTGTGTCCACAGGACAAAACCCTGGCCAGTCCTGTGCCATCCTCACAATCTCCGCTGTGTTCAGCGGAGCAGCCCTTCTCGCCGAGGGTCTTCATCTTTTTCACTGACCGATTAGAATCCCTTCCAGAGGTAGACTGATGATGTGGAAAGAACTGAGAGCTGTGGCTCTGACCTTGACGTCTTGGCATCTTGAACAACGTGGGTGCAACTCGACGAGATGATTCCGTTCCTTAAGGGCAGGATGCAGGCCTTCAGCTTTGTCTGCGTTCTTGTGCCTAACGGGTGCTAGGAAATAGGAGTTAACTTGCAATTTTCATTGTTTTTGTAGTCTTAGTGCCATTTAGAATGAATGTTTATTTTGGACATAGTGAAGTTAATCATTAAGGTGAGGAGCTGGGTCTTCTGGGGAAAGGTGAAATGAGTAATCAAATACTGAATTAACCTGCTTGAGATTCTTTAAATGGTTTTTTTATTGTTGTGATTCTCGACTTGATGAAATTCATGAACCTCTTTTAATGAGAATTAAGTGTAGTGAACTCCTTGACTGTGTGAAAAACATCAGCTTGGAAAACACAAGCCAAATAAGAGGTAACTGCTGTTACACTTTCGTTCAGGTTCTTGTGACTTGATGTCATTTGACACTCTTTGCTGATAAGTTTATTTTTGATATGAGCCAAATGAAAGTGTTGAGATTGCCTATCACATAAAGCAATCCTCGATAAGGTGGCCATCTTCATAATCTACAATATACTTACTTAAATGCCTTTTAGTTTTTTCAACTGAATGAAAAGACAGAATGGAAATGGGAATACTCGTGTGGGGAGTGCAGTCGGAGCCATGAAACAAAAACTATATGAATTGTTGAAGCGAAAATCAATCTGTTTTTAAAAAATTTCCACTCAAAATCACAATAAAGAGCTGAAAAGGGTAGGAATGCCTGGGATCCTTGGAGTGCTTCCGGCCTCTGCCTCTGCCAGTCACTCTTTGTTGGAAGTAGACTGGGGAGACCTGGAAGTGAGGTGTCCAGGACTCTCTAGTCATGGAGCGTGATGGGAGACCAGCTCACGTTGATGCTGGACAATGAGTAACTGCTGTCCCTTTCTCCCTGCAGCTCCCTTGTGAAAGATGCTTCTCCGGGGCCTCTCATTGATGTTACAAACCTTTCAACGCCTCGCAAATTCCTCGAAACCTCGCAGTTTTCTACTCCTGGAAGCTCAAGTGGTGAGTGTTTCCTTCTTCAGCCACTGAACTTTTCTGCTTTGCTCTTGTTTCTAGACCTGGCCGGGGAGCACTGGGTGGGAGTGAGGGGATCACGAGCAGCCCTTGCGGCTCCTGGTGTGTGGGAAGCTCAGAAGGGGCGTGATACACTAAGGAGATGGTCCTTTGCATCACCAGGGTTGAAATTCTTGTAGTAGCTAACTCAGGCTTGCCTGTTAGACCCAGCAGTAGGTGTGCTGGTTGGCTGTTTCTGAGGTTGAATTGGGATAATCTTTGATAGCAAGTGCACTTTCTTACTTTCTAAGCCTCTGCTGCTGCTTCTGTTGGTGTGCGCCCGCTCCTTCCAGCGCCCGGTCTGCCCTGCACCCTGGTTCCTCTCTGTCCTCCCACAGCCCCTCCTGTCATGCGCCATCTTCCTCCTCCTGTGTTTTGATGATAAAGTGGTCATCCAGGAGATCCAAGATATACATACACTTTTGTTTTGAAAAATGCAACATTGAACAAAAAGGTCAAGCTGTGGTTTTTCACAGCACCGCTCCCCCAACAGATGCGCCCTGACAACATATCTATGAACAGAGTGTGTTTCTCCTTATTCACTGTCATTGAGTCTGCGCCAGCTCATAGCGGCCTCAGTTCAGGAGAACCGAGCACCGCCTGGTCGTGCTCTGTCTTCGCAGTCATTGCTGTTCTGGACCCCACGGTGGCAGCCACAGTGTCCAGCCGTCTTACTGAGGGTCTTCGTTTTCCTACCCTCTGCTCTAAGAGCCTGATGTGTTGATCTCGAGACTGCCCTCTCCTAATAGCAGGTTTTATTCTTCTGGGGCCACCTGATAACCAGTTGAATGAGACAGAGGAGCAGTATTTTAAGGCACATTTAAGCCTGTGGAGAGGAAATGGTGTGGAGTGGCTCAGACCTGCCCCTTCCGAGGTCTGTGCTAAGCTGGTGTCAGACAGCGTGTGGACTCTGCAGAGTTCTCTGCCATTGAGCTCCTGGTGCTGAGAACGGGCTGGGGCTCAGTGGGATGTGCGTGCCTTTGTCCGCTGCAGCCGATCCTCAATGCTTTTGAAAGATGGAGTAATACTTGTTATTGTTGGCTTTCCAGATAAAAATTTCAGTATAATTCTTAGGCTTGAAATGATGAAAAGGTATAAAGATAATTTGGGCTAAAAAAGTAACTAAACTATTTCTTTTGTGAGATTAGCAATGCATTGTGACTGAAGCATATTTACTGACCTTGTGAGATGTCATTTCACTTAAATTATTTCATCATTATTTACACTTGGAACGTTGTGGTCTATTGTGCTGTAGAAAAGGAAGGATTTATTTTACAAGAAATTTTCCTTTCATCAGTTTGCTAGTTACTGATTATTACGAAGACCTCAAAGACATCTTCTTCAGGGATTGTGTACTCCAGCCTCTTCTCGATGTTAGAAAAGGCTTTGCTTTCTTCCTTTTCCTGGTATCATGTTGCTACTCTTCGGATTTTGCCATGCTTTGATCAGCTGTTGGCGGCGAGTGCCGGCAAGTTGGAACTGGCCCACAGCAGACCCTCCAGCAGGTTTTCAGAGGCAGTAAATCGCATGGGAGGAGACTGCCCATCCTTCTCCCATGGAGCAGGTGGGAGATTCGAACCACATGTCTTTGAAATTGCAGCACAGCTTCTAACCACGACTAGGCCACTACACTGTCTCTTCAGTTGGCTCGTTTTCACATCTGAACGTGAGACAGTGAATAAGGACGACAGAGGAAGAATCAGTGCCTTTGGGTTGTTGTGTTGGAGATGAATGCTGAACGGACAACCACAGAGCAAACAAATCTTGGGAGGAAGTGCAACCAGGGTGCTGCAGAGAGGCACGAGTGGGGGAACCTTGTCTCACATTCTTGGGGCACATTGTCAGGAGAATCCAGTCTTTAGAAAAATCCACCATGCTGGGAAAGGTAGAGATTAACGAAAGAGAGGAAGACCCTGCAGGAGCTGGATTAACACAGTGCCTCTGGCTGTGGCCTTGTACATACTAGTGACTGTGAGGTCGGTTCCAGATAGTGCAGGGCTTCAGTGTATCCTTTATTAAGTTGCTGTAAGTCGTTACCTGCTCATTGCCACCGGATAACGACAGCAGCCATTTCTGCAGCACTGTTTACATGAATTAAGTGACTTAATCCTTCAGTAGTCTCGGGGTCAATGCTACCGTTAGCCCTGTTTTACAGAAAAGATGTGGAGACATGAGGAGATTAGTAGTTTATGTCTATACAGCTTGCAAATCATGGAACCGTGGTTTTAACTTAGGAGCCCACTTCCAGAGTTGGCACTTCTGAGCATGTTGTTTGGTAAAGGCACCCTGGTAGCACAGTGATTATAGTGCTAACCGGGGGTCAGCACCGGGAAGCTGAGCTTGTCTCCGGAGTCCACGGGAGAACGACGTGGCATGCAGCCTTGGGGACGTGAGGGGCAGCAGAGTTACCCTGATAACTTGAGTGCAAGGAATTTGATTTGTTGTTTAGTTTCATTGGAAATAGGCTAGGACTGCTGGCTATTAGTTTTACATTGCTGCCATAGTCAGTTCCCACAAATTTAACTTTCCAGATAGCTTGAAGGGAGTTCTGGCAGGGTAGTCTGTGGGGAGTTGTACTGCAGACTCAAGGACCACACTTAGCTGGTGGTTCAAATCCACTAGTGGCTCTGAGGGAGAAAAAAAAAAAGACCACATCTCCTCCTGTGTGTTTTAGCGCCTTCAAAGCCCTGTGGAGGGCCAGCTCAGAGGTGGTTGTGACTCAATGGCAGTGGGTTAGAATTTTGAGGTTTTGAAGGTGCATGCTTGTATTCTAGGTTGTGGGCCTCCTGAGGGAATAATCAAGGTATTGGCAGGACTGCACTCCTTCTTAGAGGTCTGAGGGAAGGCCCTTGCTGTCTTTGACTTTTCTAGATTTAGCCATCATGCATCCCTTGGTTCATGGCACCTTCCTCCATCTCCAAAGAAAACATGGGCACATCCTTCTCAAGTTACAGCCCCTCCCTGCCTCCTGAGCCCTCTCTCAGGGACTCCTGCTGTTAAAGCGGTTTCACCTGCATCCTCCAGGCATCTCTCTGGAACTCGCCATCCTTAACCTTCATCACATCTGCAAAGTCCCTTTCACTCTGCACAGTGACATAGCCATAGGTTCTGGGGGTGTGGATGTGAGCATTTGGGGAGCCATTGCACTGCAGAGTCTATTTTCTGACATAAGGTATCTTTATGAGGCCATGTACAAAAGTTTGACTTTCTTGAAATTAAGTAGTAAAGTCCTTTTAAGCCATTGCAGTTCTAGTCTTTAGGGCCCTATTAATCTGGAACACGTTATTTTAGAGGATTATATTGTTGGAGAAGCTATAAATTATGTAGAGAACTGCGTAAAATGTTGCCAAATTCATGTGGGGCAGAGATTTTGTCTTCATCTGAATAATGAAGAGGAAGTCCTAAGAATTCATTTCTGAGTCCTCTGCAAGTTTGCCTGGAACGTCATTATCATTTTCAGCAGATAATTCAACCAAATCACAAACCAAGCCTGCACCCAGAGAGTCGATTAATGACGTCTAGTTACACAGTCGGACTGAAGAGAATGCCCGTGGGATTGTCAGAGCTGCCCGTCTTTATGGGTGCTGAGTGCCCCGTCTTTTTCCTGCAGAGTGCTCGTGGGTGTTCAGTGCTCTTCTCCAACACCACACCTCAAAGGCACCAGTTCCTCTTCTGTCATGGCTCCCTGTTAAAGAACTCGTACCATGGCTGTGAGTCATGTCCAATATGGGAACCGCTAACTAATGTTGGAGGTGGTTCCTCGGTACTTTGAGGTTATTATTAATGAAATGAAAATTTTGATCACTTGTGAATGAGTTCTTTTTCAGATATTTTGTTTAGAAGTAGGACGGGTACTATTACCATTATCATTGCTAGTATTATATATAAATGTTTTGTCAAATCTTCAAGGGCAGCATAAGCGTTATAAAGAATTATTTGTATGTATCATCCAATTAGGGAATAAAATATAAAATGCAAAATCAATCCACAGATTGGCAGGCATTAACAGCTTATTAACAGATAAATTTTTAGTACCCACTTAATTTTCCTACATAGTGAGGAGAAGTGATACAATGAAAACCTGGACAAACAATAATAGTTCACTGAAGAGACTCAAATGGTTCATACACATGGACAGATTGGCAGGTATCTGACAGAACTTATGTGTCGAGCATATATAAAGAACTCTTATAAACCAGTGATACAAACTAATAAAAATGAGAAAATGTGAGGAGCTTGCCCAAAAAGTCAGGCTAGTGAACAAGTGAACGGCTGCTTGTATATATTAGTTAACAGGTATTATTTGAAAACTGACTTTTACAAAGGTAGAAACATCCTCCAGGGAGATGGGGGAGGTTGGTCCCGGTCCAGCCAGGATGCTGATTGCTGGCTCCTCGCCTCATGCTGTGCCCACTCTCAGTGGGTGGAGAATGCATTTTGCACCACCTTTTTGTAGTTTTGTTATCAGTCATGGTATTTTGTAATGTACAAGGAAAGTGATGTCTAATTTAGATGTAGTAATTCACCTGTAACGCAGGCGGAAGGACGTACTAGTGTGGAGTAAAATCAGTAATTGTCAGAAAGTGTTGGTTTTAAGCCTTTGGAGCCCAGTACGTCCGTTCATTTGGCAAAGCACCTTTGGAACATTTGGACCGAGCAATTATTCCCAGAGCACATAGACATTTCATTTGTGCCTTCGTTCATTTTATTCACGTTCCTGCTGAGATGGCTGTGAATGTGACTGTAATGAAACCGGACTTCTCGCTTCTTTTCTTTCTTGTACTGCACAGGTTAAGAAATAAGACCTGGAGGGAGCACAAACAGAATGGTTTCTCCCTCCCTTCCTAGCTGCTGGGTTTTGGTGTGAATTTTTTTATTAATGTGCATTTTATTTCTTAAAAGTCTTGTTCTGAGGCTTGATATTTGTCTTGAGAACTTTGTTTCCCAAT